GAAAAGCAGGCTCAGTTAACATGTATACTTTTGGCCTTGCCCTTGTCCTTTTGCCAAAAGCATGGATTTGACACTGGAAGAAAGACCACAGAATCACAAAGGAGGCACTATGGTGCAGACTGGGCAGTTCAGGAAGTAAAGAGTTCAGTGACTAGAGGACAGAGTGATGAGGACAATGACAACGGTCCCTGGCCACTTCCAAGACTCCTAAGAGCAATGGAAAGACTTGAAAAAGCTTTGCTGGGAATCCTTCATCAAAGGTGCACTAGCTGCTGTGCGCAGAACGGATTAGAGGCAGCAAGTTCCTAGCAGGAAAAAGTTGGACAGCCCTACTGAGTAGACCAAGTGGGAGACTAGGGAAAACCAGTTTGACATCATTTACAGGAGTTCAGTGACCATGGAGTAGAGCCCACAATAACACCATCTCAGAATGGATTAGATACAGTGGCTGAAGAGAAAAGGGGTAGCAGGGACTTGCAGAACAGGCTGGGAAGCCACTGATCCCAGAACAAAGCAAAACAAAGAACTACTTTTTCCTATCTGCTTGCAATCAGAATGTTTGAGAAAACTCAGGACCCCAGGTAGCCTCAAAGGGAACTGTCCTTCTGCCAGACTTTCAACCCCCTGCTGTCTCCATGTTCTCTTAATCTCCTTGATCCTTGGGTATCAGAACTTCCACTCACACCTTCTCCATTTCTCAACACCCTCTCCCCCATGCCTTTGTGTCTCCCCCACGCCCTCAGATGGCTGCCCTACTCTCATTTCACAAACACAGAAGTTCTGTGAAGGGAACTACTCCCTGCCTCCCAGCTTCAAACCATGCCTGCTTTCTTCATTAACTGAATACGGTTATATCCTGAGAATGATTCCTTCTTCCATTGAGTCCTTGCAATTCTGATTCTCCCTTTTCTATCTGGTGTCCATACCCCAGTGGCTCTGCTAGATACTTCCCATTAGCAATTAAACAATGCCAAGCAATTCTCTTCTGTCAGTCAAACAAGCAATGAGGGACTCCATCTATTTTGAATAGTCATTCTCCTTTAGTGACCATCCCATTTCTATTTCTTTTCTGGACAGCCAAGTTTCTTAAGTGCTGTGTAAACATTCCTGCTCCAAAATCGTGTCTGACCTGACCATCTTGGTGTGAACATTGACTCAAACACCAGCAATGGTGTGATTTCAAGTGATTAACTTTTCCAGGTCTCAAGTTTCCGAAGTTCTAAGCTCTTGGTACATCATCTAGTGACTGTTCACTATCTGTTAGTTGTGGCTGTTGTAATAAACACCACTTACTCCTCAACTCCTATCTTCTGTCCTGCTATAATAAAGCACCTTTCACTAAAGTTTCTGCTATAGTCTGAATATGGCCACTAAAACTGATACGTGGCAAACTTCATCTTCAGAGAAAGTAATGGGAGGTGGGCCTTTAGGGAGATATTGTGGTTGTGAGGCTGTGCCTTCATTCATGCAGTAACGTTCATATGCAAACAGTTTGTTGTAGTGGGTTTACTCTCTCTCTTATCCTTCTGCTATTTGCTACATGAGAACACAGCAAGTGAACCAATATCAGACACCAGCAGATTGCCTCTGAAACTGGGAGACAGAGCACTGGTCTTCATAGATACCCTATTCTGCATATGGACAGTTTTCAGTTCTTTCCTCCTCCTCTTATAGCCATGGAAACGCTTCCTCTCTATTTTAACTATCCCTGGTCTGACTGCATCTATGGCTTCTACAGATAACTGCAGGTCTTACATAGATTGGAATTCCTCAAACTCTCTCACATCCACTTCTGTGACCTCTCTAAAGATGATTAAACAGATCCACAGCATCCAAAACCAGCCACACTCTGACTCCATCTTTGCCTGCTTCCCCAGCATACACCAACACTGCATCCCTTCTTCCTGAGGCACAAACTCATCACGTTTCCTTTTACTTGTCTTACTTCTCCTCCAGAGTAGTTATTTGTGTGGTTATTGCCCACTATTTTTTCAGTCATTTCCCAGATAGCTACTGATTATTCACATGCTCTGATCTGTTTCCTATGTGCTGCCCCAGTACAGAGGATGCTTTAGGCAGCTTATAACAATAAGGCAAAGATAAAATAGATTAAAGAGTAAATGAATCCAAAGAGAGAAACAAAATTGAGACGAATTTATTAGTGCTCACGAGCCAACTACAAATGAGTCTCCAATTTGTTTAATAAACTCAATGAAGCAAAGGAGTTAAGGGACATTTTGAAAATTGCTCAATGCGATGACCATGAAAAACAGAGAAAATGAATGTGATTATTATGACAAACTAAGAGAAATTAATGATATGCTGGGTTCTCATACCAGACAATATCTACCCCATCAAGCCCACGCTAAGAGTGCTTTACAAAGCTTCTTCCCTGAGGACTAGTTATCACAGTACCAGAAGGTGACATGCAAGCTGCTGAGGGGAAAGAAAGACATAGTCTTACTCAGCTATGATGCCTATAAACCACACCAATGACCTGCATGGCAAGACATTCACACAAGTGCAACCATGGCATTTACATCATGGTGGTAACTAACAGCTATCTGATTGGACCCAAGGTCTACTTAACAGAAGGGAAATCATGCTTGGTGCACTAAACCTAGCCATCTACATATGGCTTGTGAAGTGTGTACATAGATCTTAGAAGAAGACCTACAAGCTGAAAGGTTCAGGCATTACACTGGCCTGCCCTGTTACCTGGCAGAATACACTCAGGCAGCACTCTGGTCACTCAGAGTTCTGTGAGAACCATGCAGGTGCAAAGGACCCCTTTAAAGGACTGACCCCTGCCCTCTTATGTTCTCTTTTACTCTCATCTTCCTCTCCATCTCACTCTCTCTCTCTCTCTCTCTCTCTCTCTCTCTCTCTCTCTCTCTCTCTCTCTCTCTCTCTCTCACTCTCTCTCTGTCTCATCCCTGCACTGGTTAGTTATCTCTCATCCCCCTTTCACTCCCTGTCCACCAATAAAACTCCATGGGGGATCGTTGAGTCACCGTTTGTGTCTTGTTATTGGGTAAACGTAGACATTTTAACAACATTGGTTCTCTCACCAGGAACCTAGACATTTTAGCAGCATTGGTTCCCTGACCCGGACAGGCTCTCCCTGCAGCTCTGGCTGCCTGCTAACCTGGCAGCTGCCATGCAGGTAACCTGCAACATGGGACCAAAGGTCCACTTTCCATCGACTGGAATGCTGAATTTTACATCCAACAGCGGTTGCAGTTTGGTAAGGACCCCCTCTAGGTTGGCGTAAACGTTTCCCTGAACCCTAAGGACTGACTGTTGAGCGTCTGTCACCCTTACAGTGTTCTTGGAAATGGGGGGAATTCACCCAACCATGATCTTCAAGGTCACAGTTGACCCCCATCATCTGACAATCATTTTTGGTTTGTTTTCCACAGGCACGGCCTAGTGGCAACCTTTTCGGCTCCTTTCTGAGCCTTCGGTAGCTTTTCGCCTTTCGGACTCTGGTTCCTTTCTTCGGGTGGTCTCTTCTGCGCTGGCTAGACTCTCAGGCTGACGAGTTCTGAAGAGTTGATTTTGCCATTTTCTTTCCTTTAGACCTGGCTCATGGGTAACAAGCCGACAAAGGATATTTTACGGGACCTCTCTAAGTCACTGCCAGCCATCTGGTCAATGGAAGGAGTTACCTTATGTTCAAGCTTTTCTCTACTTCTCTGCTAAACATTCTCTTCAACATTCTTTCTTCCTCTAAATCTCATTCTTCTAGCTTTAAAAGCTAAACCTAAAAAACTCCCGCCCGTCACAGAGGCTTCCCACCACTTCCCATCATGGCTAAAACTGCCTCAGGGAGGGAACCGCCTATTTTGTCTCTCTTGTTCATTCAGCTTGGAATGGCAAATTCCTCTTTTCTATCCAGCTTTGCTTCTACTGTATTTCTTCTCCATACAGATGCCAGCATCTTACAATGGCCTGGATTAGGTTAGTGTCTGCTCAGGACACTCTAAGGAATGTGCCTATGGAGGCCGCCATCTTGGCTATATTAACCATGTGGCCTAACATGTGGCCTACTTTGGAAACGTGTTTAATTACTGAGACCGCCATGTTTACATGTGACCTAGCTATAGACATGCCCACTCAGTCCAGCCAGCTTCTGCTGGCCAAGCCTGCTGACAGATACAATTCATTTACTTTGTCTCTTTTGCTCTTTTATTTTTGTCTCTAATTTCATCTTTCACTGACCCTGCTGCATATGGCTTGTTTATGGAATACTGTGCTTTTCCAGGGTTCCCTGTTCTGTCTACAACCAATCTTCCTTCTCATCACTGTCTCTTTAAATCTGTTTGCTACAAGTGTGGGTCAAACACTTTTACCCAATCCTGTTTAATGTATCTATATGCATGTGTAAAAAATAAGGTAACTTTAATTCAACTATACTAAATTATCAAATATTTCCAAATTGTTATATCTTTTAAGTGATGATAAACATTTAAAGTTATACGGGTCTATTTCAAATTAACAAAGTATTTATACCACCCAGTCGTTCCTACAAGCTGTATACAAAGGTAAAGCTATTACAAGAGGGATTTTTCTGTAGTTACCAATGTACTTAAGACAAGTCACTAGCCAGGTGGTGGTGGCCCACGCCTTTAATCCCAGCACTCGGGAGGCAGAGGCAGGTGGATCTCTGTGAGTTCGAGACCAAGCCTGGTCTACCGAGCAAGTTCCAGGACAGGCTCCAAAACAATACAGAGAAACCCTGTGTCAAAAAAACCAAAAAAAAAAAAAAAAGACAAGTCACTAAAGATAAATTTTGTATACTAAGATATACTAAACAGGCAAACAGTCCTCAAATGCTCAGAGATCTAGAGAACACGGTATTTAGATGTTTTATTTAAAAGCTTTTTATAACAGAGAGACAGGCCAGCTTCTGACATCACCCCATTTCCTCCAAGAAGACTGGTGGACACTGAAGAAACTCCGCCCACAAAAGTGGCAACGTTGGTCACTAAGCAACCCTGCCTTTCACCTCAACTGCTTCAAAGGACTCTTCAGTCTGTGAACAAGAGGACACTGGAATCAACTTTCTCCATGTTACTCAGGTCAAAGGTAGGAAAGTCTTCCTAAAAAGTCCCCAATCCACAGGTCTCACAATCAGCAAAAGGCAGGTGTTCTTGGAGCCTCTGATTTCAACAACTGTGGAGGCCCTTGGGGGTGGCTGTCCATACAGTCAGCTACTAAGTCTCTCATTCTCCAATCTCAGGTAAAATCTTATCCTTCTCAAGAACTCTGATGCTTTTGATGGCTGGTAGCCTTGCCAGCTTAAACAGACAAGGCAAAGCTCTGTCAAAAAGATTTCAGGAACAGGTATTCTAAGGTTTATCTATATAAGATGGTAATGTAATAAAGTAAGTTGAGACATTAAAAAAATAAAGTATGTTCCAGGTTTCTCTTTCATTATACTACTTTTTATACTCTTAACATTAATCAATAAAGTTCTGATAAGCTACTAATCTAATTCCAATAGAGTGCTAAACAACTATAGCACTATATAATCATAACTATAAGCTAAAAACTAAGGTGCTTTTCATAGTGCTAAAAATATCTGTCAGTTTAAAAAATGTTAATGCTTTCAACCAAGTCTTTTCTAACACAAATATGCTACTGATATGTCTAATATTTATGTTTTCACAAACTCAAAGGATTCTTGTAAGTTCCAGGAAGCCAAATTGGACCCATCCATCCAGATATTATTCAACCTCTCCCTGGTCCTGGGACTCACCTCCCTTATCTTGGGACCCCTGGGGAACCCCTCCCTGATCTTACGAACTTCCTCTCAAAACCAGGACCTAAGAAAGAAAATTTTAAACCTAACTTTGTCCTCTACTCTGATAACATCTTGCCAGATCTACAGAGGCACCAGAGAGTCCCATACAGCCTGTACTACAATAGAACAACCAGCGTGGCAACATCCAAACTTTCTCAGGTTCCCCCAAAGATGATCAACACTGCCAGGTCAGCAGGAAGCAGTCTTAAGAACTCAACGTCCTCGATCCCGAACCTACCACGTCTAACACCCCTACCTCTTTTTAATCATAAATAAAGGTGGGAATGAAAGGTTCAGGCATTACACTGGCCTGCCCTGTTACCTGGCAGAATTCACTCAGGCAGCACTCTGGCCAGCCCAGAGTTCTGTGAGAACCACGAAGGTACAAAGGACCCCTTTAAAGGACTGACCCCTGCCCTCTTATGCTCTCTTTTACTCTCATCTTCCTCTCCATCTCCTCTCTCTCTCTCTCTCTCTCTCTCTCTCTCTCTCTCTCTCACTCTCTCTCTCTCTCTCACTCTCTCTCTCTCTCTCTCTCTCTGTCTCATCCCTGCACTGGTTAGTTACCTCTCACCCCCCTTTCCCTCCCTGTCCACCAATAAAACTCCACGTGGGATCGTTGAGTCACGGTTTGTGCCTCGTTACTGGATAAACGTAGACATTTTAACAACATTGGTTCCCTCACCGGGAACCCTGACATTTTAACAGCATTGGTTCCCTGGCTGGGAACATAGACATTTTAACAACACAAGCTCCATTTTGCTAAACCAGTTTAATTCCTAACTGTATTCTAAATACTTATCTGTATGTCCACAGATAAGTATAGATTTCACCAGTCATCAAAGGAGACTTTTTCAGCAACAGCAGGAGACCATTATAAAAAGCCACAGTTGCTAAAATGCAGGAAAAACCTGACTGTAGGGTGCCTATCCCCAGTTGATAAGCTACAAAACAAACAACAACAACAAAATCCCTGAAACTTCTCTTGTCCAGGAAGCATCACAGAAGATGTGATGCAAAGACTGTAAGAGCCAGAGGATCACTGAGTCTGCTGGGAGACTGTTCCTCCCAGCTAAACAACTATAGCACTATATAATCATAACTATACACACGAAATGTCAACAACATGGCTGCCTAAACAGGACTTGGACAATTTGAACAACAGCTGGCATCACAATGTAGATGGGAGAAATCTCATGGGTCCCACCACTAGAAGAAGAGCCTTAGGCAATTAAAAACTGTTGAGAGAGGGAGATTTGGTCTTTCCTGGAGACCAGTCCCCTGATTGGTTATCCAATACTGAGCAGTTCGCCCTAGAAATAAAAATATAGGCAACACTGAAAGGACTCAGTAGCTTATATTTATATGTTGATTTGTTCATATGCATATTTAACAATAACAGTTGTTTAGAAAGAATCCATGAATTTAGGTTGGACATAGGAGGGATAGGAGGGTGTAGAGGAAAGGATAAATGATGCAAACATATTTTGGTTGAGTTTTAAAAGGAGGGCTTTATGTCACTGAAGTTACCAGGTAGATACACTGCTTTCTTTATGAGCCCCTCATAGGATACATAACTTGTTTGATAGTACATTGCAGGGTCAGTTTGCAAACCTGTGTTAGCCTGCCTCTACAACCATTACCCCAAAGTACATCTGAAAACCAAATGCTGTTTTTTCCCTGGTAGCAAGAGTCAACAACAGACCTTTGTGCATGGTGCCCACAACAGAACAAGCCAAACATCACAAAGACTCTGCCTCTGAACAACCCCCTGGCAGCTTCTTTGCTTCAGTTTAAAGCCAAGTTACAAAGTCCTTGATAGAAAAGGGTGGGAGGAGGGGAGCACAGCATGAAGTATTAATAAACCTCATAAAATCATTACCTTGTCCCTTAAGTAGCCTCTGAAGTAAGAGGAGCAGGGAAGAACACTGATAGAGGATTTTGCTTGCCTCTACCCTACCCCGCAAAATATTGTACATTTCAGTAGCTAAGAGGGTATGAAAATTTAACAGAACTTTAATGTCTTTCTAGGTTTTATGATGCCACAAAGAGATCATCTGCATTCTGCTCACCACAAGAACAGATGGGTCACAGGGAAGGTGGATCTGTGACTCATTACCTCACAGAACCTGCAGAGGCTGTCTGAGTGTCAGGCAAACTTCTGGGATCAATAGGGTTGGAGGCAAGGCAGCGCCTGCCAGTAGGTCTTAAAGAAAGTCATTAGTCAACCAGTGACCTGGCAACCCCGCGACAGTAGCCCTCTGAAGTGGATTCTCAGAAAGGTTGGTCTGTGCTGAGAAACTGCAAAGGTCATGAGTATGTAAGTCAAAACTCACAGAACGGGGGCGAGGGAAACCACAGAGGAATCATGGAGTCAGCTGGTAGGTCACCTCAGAAACCAAGGTCACCACTTACCATCTTTGTGACCAAGAGAAGTGAGGCAGAAGAGTGATGGTGTGTCACATGCAATGCTGAAAGCTAGTCATGCACTGAGGAAGCCTCCCAAGAACACTGGATTTATCTCTAAATGGATGTCAATGATGACATGGTGTCCGGTGTGCATAGGATCTCAATGCAACCATCAGGAAAAGGAAAAGCAAGTTGAATCGCCACTTTGATTCTATTAAAACATGTGCAGCCTTTTAAGGTAACGTCTGTTCCATCTTTCCCAACGGTCAGAAGCCATCTCCTCAGATTCAGCTGTGGTAGAGAAAAAGGAAGTCTCAGTGGAGGTTAGCAGTCTCTGCCGATCAGCACCAAGGGACTCCAGTGTCAGGCAGACTGGGAATCTTGCTGCATGACTAACATGATTGACTGGGAAAGGCAGTTTGAGGAGATAAGAAAACCCCAGACTGCTCAACTGTTTCTCAAACTGAGTACTACATGCAGGGCCTGGCTCCTGTAAAAATCCCACTCCCTACCCCATCCCTGTGGCCTTTACAAACGTGAGGCTCAGAGTAGAGCACATGATTTCAAATGCAATCTGGGTCCTTACTGATCTTGAGCTGAGCACTGACTTCAGACCCAGGAGATCCCAAAACAGACTCATCTCTGACTCTTCTATGACCTTGGCCATCAGAACTCCCTGTACTTTAGTTTCCTCTTCAGTAAAACGACACAATGTTACTACCAAGAGAACTAGGGAGATTAATAAGTTAGTATTAACAAAATCCCGAGAAGCGATTGATAACATAACACATAAATATTTGCTTCGTTTATTGGCCCTTAGGAACCAAACACTCTAGTCAAGCTAAGTAACTGGGTATACATTCATATGAACCATGGAGAAGCTACATTTTTCCATCTCCTGCATCTTAAACAAAATAATGTGACTGTGCATGTATGCCTGATAAAAATATCTGTTGACAAAAATATCCGTCGAACCCCTTCCATGTCCCTCTATCCCCACCTCCCTCTCAAATCCATGGCCTCTATTCATTTGATTATAATGGCTACATAGACATACAATATATATAAATACAACCTTCTGAGTTCATTTTGTTGTTTACGTGTTATGATTTTAGGGCTAACTACTTTGTATTGAAAAATTGATTACGGATCATATCCCTGAGAAAGGGCAATTCTTCCTCTCTCAGCAGTCATTTGTTAAATATGGTTCTTTGTCTAGGGTTTGGGATTCTGTGAGATTTTCTCCCTTGTGAGTTAGCATGTCTACTGGTATTGTCACAGTTCGTGTCTTGCTTAGGAAGCCAGTCTCACAGCAAAATCTCAGTCCTCTGGCTCTTACTTACAATTCCTCTGGCTCATCTTCCATGATGTGTCCTGAGCCTCAGGTACAGGAACTCTGTTGCAGATATATCCACTGGGACTAGGCTCTGCTGATGGCAACATTGTGTACCATTGTGGTTTTCTGTAATGGTCGCCATTTGCAGTAAAGAGAGGCTTCTTTGATGATAAGTGATAGTTACACTTATCTCAAGATTCTCTTCTAAGATCCATGACCCCACTAGCCCTGGGAATCTGGCTAGGTTTACAGTACAGGGCATGGTTTTCTTTCTGTTGAGTGGGCCTAAGATATGAGTGCAACTATTATACCTTTAGGGATATTTTGCCATGCTGATCGGTGCTGTAGTTCATAAGTGTCACAGTTGGAAAGGAATATTGATTGCTTCCTTCTCTTGGCAACTTGCGTAGCATTTTCTGGTACTATGGAAGCTAGATGGTAGGAAAGAGGCTTTCAGGCTAGATGCAGCTTAAATAATCTGAGACTTGTGTACTAAGTGTTGGTGCCTTAGCAACAGGAACCTGCCTTCAACCCCTGAGAGGTAACCAAGGGCAATAGTAACAGCCTAGATTGTTTTAGGAGTCACTTGGACTACCCTGACCAACAACTAGAAAGGTTTCTCATGTCTGGTACTGGGGGTTTTGTTAGGTAGCCCATGGTCATAGTCTTAGGTCAACCCAAGTAGTATACGTTTACTTTATATATAATAAGAAGAATACATATTATTATTTGTGTATATAGCATATATTTGTGTGTATACTGCATATAATTTTAGGTAAATATAAAGTAATATGATTGCTTGAGTCTTTATCAAATAACCTTGGTGCTATAACTTTTAGGGTTCAAACTTTTGGGAAACTAGGAAAATAATGATCATATTCTATCTCTCAGAAACTCAGTTTCACTTTCACATAGTCCAAGACCGCATCTTCAGGTTATTCTGTTAGTTAGGGATATATAGCTGGGTGTTACTATACAAAGCTAAGATGGTCAAAATCTTCTTCAGACATTTATCAATAGACATATATTCCTAAAAGTCCATTGGCCTACTTTTACAATATTTATCACAGAGGCACTGTAGTGATTTATAATGTTCCAATCCTTTAAATGCTAGCTGTAGGAAGTCAGGAAACTCACGACCTTTGGTTCATTTGTACTTAGAATCTAAAAGAGTACAACACATTGAGTCAGTGACTTAGAGCTAAGAAGGAAATGAAAGATTATTCAGTCATTAATATAACCTTATCTTGCATACCATGAGCCCATTTCCTGTAGTGTCCCTCCTCTGAATATAATTATCAAAGCCCTTTAACAGTTTGATCTTCACTGGAATGGGCTCGACAGCAGCCCAGTAATGACTCTATATGTGTCATACCTTTGTATAAGCTATTGAATGCTGTGTTGGTTAATTAGGTGCTTGAGTTCTTTCCATAAGTCACACATTTGCCACACATCATCCTTGTCTATTACAGCCCTTCAAGAATTATTATAAGTGAAGAAACCAAATCTCAGAGAGGGTTGGTAACTTTCTTATTTTATACAGCCAGTCACTCGTATATTTGGGATCTGATCCAAAGCCGTTCTCACTTGAAAGCTCATGATTTCTGGATTTCCCCAATATTAATCAGAAGTTAAACTCATTTTGAAAGTTTGATGGGAAAATAAATAACACACAGAAAATATTCTTTAGAAGTTGTAAAGCATTTTGTAGGAATATCAGCCATAGATTTTCTCCTAACTATCACCAAAATAATTTGTACTTTCAATTTGCCTATGGCTGTATGTCCTTCGGTTCATGAAAAATCAATCAAACAAGATGAGTTTTTAAAAATCGCCAGCCATATGTAACTGAAGAATTTAGGCAAGTCTGTAATTCCAGCTAAGATGACCTCCCAGGGTCTAACTATCTTATACTTTGCTTAGAAAAAGGCTGTGTGATTCCCAAGAGTAGTTGGGAAAAAAAAGGCACTTCCCTATTTAAATCAAGGCAATAATTGCTGGAATTATTCCAGGGTACTATCTTTAGCATATATGACCTGTCATATGGAGGCATTCAAGCTCAGGAGAATAAGAAGTTATCATAGTAACAAATGTTTGCTAGGAAACTGTCATATGATAGGGAGCTTTACCTCCATTACTTTTTTACACTTACCAATCCCTGCAATACACCGATCCAGGTTCAAAGAGCTCAAGTTGCATATGACAAAGCTTGCATGGCTCACAGGTGGCAGGACCAGAACTGAGATCAGGTCAGCCTACATCTGGTCATGTAGGAGGTAACTAACATATCACTTAGTTATGCTTGCTAGTCTCCATCAGCCAGTCACTTTAAGAGACTGACTGAAAATTATGCTCTCAGATTCAACTGTCCCTGGCTACTTGGGCAAAGCATGACATTGCTGAGGAGAGCTTCCGGTGTCAAGTGACCTAAATTACATTCTTGATGAGCGCTTCTTCCCACTAGGCTGACAACACCTAGACTGCCTTAATAAAGCAACACTGTTGAAAACCTCAAATAGGAGAGCTGGCACAGAATAGTGAAAGTCACAGGGACAAGCACCTGGTGGCAGTGGCCGTGGCCAGTGGGGATGTAACAGGCCTGATTTCTGGTCTCACCTGTGTCACTAAAATGCTGCAAAATCAAGAAAATTCACCACACATCTCCGTGTCTTGGTTCTTATCTACAAATCGAGGATATTGTTCCTTCAAGTTCTAATATTTACTGATTCCTTAGAAGGATGAAGGAAATGTAAGGGTTAAGCTTACTTCTGAGGGTTTCCAATCATCTTCCAGATGCCAAACTTCAGAGAGGAACAGTGCAGACCCAGAAAGCTTCTAAAAACCATTACTGGCATCATCACATCACGATGTGGTCATCACTGCTCCCTGGTCCTTCTGGCTCTCTGGGGCTGTTACTGGAAGGGACAACAGCTAAAAGGGTATTTCTGGGAACCTAAGGGGTGGGAGTGCAGTGTTGGAAGAAGGTTGGGAAGTGAGTGATCCCGTCCACCAGGTTCCAAGGCACACTTAGGAAAGATAACAGAAAACATTCCTACAGGCTGCATAAACCATGTGCTGTGACATCTGAGATCACACTTTATCTTCATACTTCATGGCAGACATTTGTAGAAAGGGAAGTAGGCATTGCATGCGATTACAGACAAGAGACGGTGGCAGGACATACACAAACACTCATCTTCACAGAAGTTTCAGACAGCCAAGGTTGCCCTTGCTGCTTTCCATTTTATTTGTGGATTGGCATAAGTAGTAATTAGATCTTCTCTTAAAGGCATTGAAGAAATCCTGCTATACTGAGGCTCTTACCAGTGGTCCATCTTCAAGCAAGGATAGAAGTCCCACAAGATATCAGTCCCTTGTCCCCTCTCCTACCCCATCCAGCAATTTGAAGAAAGCCCATTCTTTCTTGCCTCCATGCCTTTGCATGTGCTGTTTTTTTGTTTTGTTTTGTTTTGCTGTGGAAGGCATTCCTTCTTTTTCTTAATAAAGGGCATTCTTATTTTTCAGTTGCTTTTCCAGTACCACCTCCTAAGAAGACATCCTTGGTATCACCACCAACATCAACAAGTCTTATACTGCTTCTCTATGGTACTAGGGACAGGAGTATCACAACACACATTAAATATCCTTTTATAATATCTTAAAATCATAAATTGGGCTGGAGAGATGGCTCAGCCATTAAAGACTAGGCTCACAACCAAAAAAATCATTATAAATTATATGTATATGGGTGTGTCCATGCAGAAATATGTATACATGAGTTCAAATGGCCTCAGAAACCAGATATGTTGGAACCGCCAAGAGCTATAATTACAAGTACTTGTGAGCTGCCCAATGTAGGTGCTAGGAACTGAATTCATGGGTCCGCTGCAAGACCAGTACACATTACTGGGGCCATCTCTCCAGCCCTCTTATTAAAAATTTTGGTAGCATAAATTTATATATTTATACATCTCTGCCTGAATAGATAAGAGATCATCAAGCAGATGGACGAGGTTATTTTGGTACTCATTCTATATACTTAGTCTCGTGCCCAACACACGGGAGGCAAACAAAGTATTGACTAGTTGCATGCATATATTATTGCATAGATCATGACTCTAAGCCATTCCCTCTGGCAGAAGACAGTCTTGAAAGGGTAAAATTAGACCATACAATATTTAGGGGATATCTCCTTTTCATTTACAATTAGAAAGGCATAGTTACCTAAGATGGATAGGAATATGAAAAGTAATAAAAATGCAGCCAGATCAAAGGCTCAGAAGGAACTGGGAAGGCAAAGTCTGGGACAGTGGATGACCTCCATTTGGTCATGGGAGATAAGTAGTGTGACAGGCCCCATATAGCCAATAAAAAGGCTGGAAGAAACTGTGGCTGAAGACTGCACAGGCTTCCCAACGTGTATTAGTACAAACTTCACCTGAAATAACAAACAACAAAGATGGAGTGGCAGCAACAGGCTGAGAGGAGCCCCAGAAAGACAGAGTGGAGACCACAAATCACATAGCTCATGAATACCAATATGGAAAGCAAGCCTTTGATAAACAAATGGACAAGTCCTTGGTAGCATGCCCCATTCTAACAGCAGCATTTAAAACAATGTATATGAGGAGCTTAAGAAGGATTTACGAACCCCAGAACTGCAAACAGCATCATTAGATTCAGGATCACCATGCTAGTCATGACTCATTTTGTTTGGTAGGAAACCTGAAGAATATTACCAAAGGGGGATTTTCTCTGGTCTCTACCATATGAACATTCCCATTTCTGACTTTGCACTACTCACTAGTTCCAACCATAAGAAGAGGGGTCCCTTATCTAATGCCTGGAAGGCTATGTCAGACAGGTCTGGGTGCATCCTGGGTATGGCATCAGGACAGGCTTGCCATGGGCGTCTTCACCTACACTCAAGACAGCGGCCTCCCTCATCCCATGAACCAAGCAAACTGAATGAAGCCTGTACCAGAAAAATACAACTAGATCTGTTTCTTCTTTGTTCCAGGGAGTAGGCGAGTCAGTATCATGAAGAGCCTAATATCTGGCCAGATTGAAAGCAGAGGCAAAGGACCCACAGCTCTGCCATTCACCCTGACTAAAGCCAAGAGTGCCAGTTCCTCAGGTGGGTTCTACAATTATTCCATTCTAGTCAGAGCTCAGAGGGAACACTGGGGAGTCATGACACACTGACATCTCCAATATGCACTTGTCATTCATCAGTAATATTTACTTAAAAATTTGAGCCTAAATGGCAAAAATATTTAAACCTCTGTGTCAGTTGATACAAGATTTATGTTACTCTGTGGAAAAGTAAAATTTACAACCTTCCTAAACGTGTTTGTTGTTAAAATAGTTCCTGGCCTAGAAAAGTCTCTTAAGGAATGGCATCAGGTTCCAGCTATTGTTCTTGTTGGGGTCCCTTCTTAAGTAGAAGATGTTTGTGAAGATCACTGTGAGCACTGACATTGTGAAAAAAATCTACTCTCACCTAGAACCATCGTTTACTTCAAAGAATTGTTAGAGCTTTTAATAACTAAAGCTAAGAAGAGATTTTTTTATCAAGTCCTTTATTCAAACATATATTCCCTCTACCAACAGGCATTTCATCAGTACTTACTGTATGCTACGTGTATCCACAGTGTGAGAAACCTAAAATATGGTGTCATTTAGAAAAGAAAACCAGTTTAATAAGTTGGCACCTTCCTTTCCCTCAGGAAGGTCTCTTTTTCTGCATTAGTCTTTGTTCCTGTTTCTCAGTTCAGTCAGCAACTCCGCTCACCCCGTGCATTTGTTCCCTGCCAGGCTTCCCTAGTCTCAAATAACGAGTGATCTAAAAGCTAGTACACTGAATCTTTTGATATAACACAACTCTGAAGTGCAAACAATCTCTCAACAATTCAGTCATGCTGGTCCAATAATTTTCAAGACATGGCCTTCTCCAGTAAAGACAATAAAATGCTTTTCCCAGGAAGTAAAAGGGCAACTGAGATTTGCTGAAAGGGAGCCTGGATAATCGATTAGAACAGGTGGGATGCTGTCTCTCTTCCTAAGGACCCGCCCCTGCTGATGTCTTCCTTCCTGCCAGCTTTGGATAGATGCTTGGGATTAAATAGGTGACCTGGGAATGATTTGCCTGGAATGAAAGGTCAAAATTTACTGACACCAATCATTTTATTGGACTACGGGTGGATAATCCCTTCTTTTAAAAGGAAAGAAAAGAAAGATGCCAGGAAGGGAGAAAGATGAGAAGAGGGAGGGAGGGAGGGAGAGAGGCAGACAGAGTGGGTTGTACTTTCTCCATCAGTCACAACTTGAAAACAACAGTCTCTAAATACATTTCCTGTTATATTCTTTTAACCCACAAAATTATTTTCCTTACTTTCTACAATGTTTCATAACCAAACCAACCAAATGTCAATTTTTACCTTGTCCTTGAGATGCACCATATAATATAAATATTGCATTTGATCACTAACTTACACTTCATAAATAATTTATTTCAAAAGCGTTCCTCCATAAGACTCTCTGTTGCTGAGGTGTTCAGTTTTCAGGGAAAGCATTTATTTACAGCCTGAGCCAAAGAAGGCTGGTAAAGACTTGGCTAAAAGCTGCACATGGAGAAAATTATGGTAATTGTATTAATGCTCAAACACACGGCACTCGATGCTCAAATCTGCTAAAAGCTTTTGTGCTACACATTGCCCACATCTTGACGGGCAATGAGACCACGAGAAGTGCTTAATACTTGACAGAACACTTCCGAGATTCATCTTTCACAGTTCCAAGAACTGCTAAAGAATCTGGAAGAGGCTTCACGAGGAGTTTCTGAACTTCAAACTCTCCTCTTAAATGGCTTATGCTTTGTGATCACACTGACACTCCAAGCTCAACCAGAAAGGAAAATCAAGAGAAACGTCACACAATTAATTCTGATGAATGGTTGAGTTTTAATTTGAGTAAGACAAATTTCTGTTCACGATATGTCTCCTTCTGATATCTATTAAAATATATTAACTTAACAGGTAAAATATAATAAGGTTACTTTGGAAATTTTCTGCTAGGTCAACATTATGGACTTTTAATGTATATTTTTGTATCTATTGCTCTACTAGAAGAACTAATACACTAATTGACCATATATTTTGTACAAGATTAGCAAAAATTAAGAAAATCTCAACATAATCACAAAGTAAGAGTTTAAGGTGGATCTAAGTCAGTTAAGATGCTATTAAGACCAGTAGATTCCCTTTGCAGCTTTTAAAAGCCTGAAGCACTACGTTCCTAATACCATCCTCTCAGTTTACTTACTCACCAATCACACAGTAATTCCAATAATAAGCATGACCATAGGCTAGGATGAGATACCCAAGGGTAAATAGTGAAGTGCTGTATGAACAAGTTCAGTTAAACACCCAATTCAAACAAGTCAGAAAACTGCAGCCTAAAGACATGGTTTATTCATCATGGCTGACATATCCTGAAAAACCTGGTCTTGAAAACAAAGAAAAGCTGGACTGAGTTCTCATAATGTAATTCAAACAAAAAAATCACAAATATTCTTGTATATGCCCATGAACCATCACTCTTTGGATTTTCTATTCTTTTACCTATTTTGCTGTAATTATCACCAATGAGATCTTCCAAACCAATCATCTTCCAGAAGCTGTCATCCCAACCTTTCTCTGCTGAATATGTCCATTTGCACACCAGTGAGCAGAGAGACCTAGAAATATTGGAGAGAGGTAGGATCAAAAATGTGAGGCATATTCCTTAATATGTTCCCAAATACCTGCCCTGGTATATTCAGTAGTGTGGTGGCAGGAGAGGAAACAGTAATTACACATGCATTCCTGTTTAAATAAAGGACTCTATGTACACCTGGGAATGAACACTAGTTCCTTTTGCCTTCAGAAGAGACTCAGTCTTCTATATGGATCCTGACCAAACAAACATAGTAAGTGAACACTTGCATTTACATCTACATTTATTTAATACATGTGAGATAATTATGAATTATACTACTAATTAGTTATTTGATGAAACTGAGTAAACATCTCAAGTTTAAATGTAATATTGGTGAGGCTATACTAAAGTGTTCTTTATCATTCAGCATGTGACATATTCATGTATGACATGGTATTGGGAGCATGTTTCAAGAAGGGGGAGTGAATGGTGCTGTGAATGGTTGGATAAGATTGGTCTGGGCTGCTGGCCATTGGAGCAGACAGATGAATTCAAAGGAGTCTTGATGCCATCTACTTTATAGATCTTCCATGTTCTCTATAATAAAAATGCTTCTTTTCCGTGTCTGCTATAAAGTCAATAATATGTCACTATAATCTAAATCAATACTTCAGTACTGGAAGGTGTTTTCCTTTCAGCTTCAATTTTCAATGTCACCCTTAGTATTCTATAATTCTTCTTTTAAAATAACACGCATGTCTCTGAGAGAGTCATGCTCTTGCCTCTGCTCTACCTCTTGCAGTTTAAAGACCTCTCCCAACCGTCTTCATTCTGAAGGCTCAAATTTTTATTTTAACCCAAGATGAAACTCTAATTTATGGTTAAATATTTTCTTTCTTACCTCTCAAAAGATGAAACACACACGCACACACGCACGCATACACAAACACACACACACACACACACACACACACACACACACACACACACACACACACACACCTCCAGTGCTAGAGATCAAATTCAGAGCCTTATGTGTACCAGGTAAGCACTGTACCGCTAATCTACATCTGAGCCCACAGAGTATGCTGTATATTGTGACCTTTATCACACTGTAATTAACTGCTTTTTTCATAGACATTACCTATATTTCTTCAATCTATTCTCCATATTTTGTCTCCATATTTTACAAACCTGTAATATCAACCTTCACATGAACTCTTTGTGACATGTCTGCATCTGTTTCTGTTTGTTCTTGGCCATTCCCACCCCTGCAGTTTCTGTTGAACAGTCCTAAGTCCTCAGTACTTTCCTATAGTTAGCCTTTCTTTCTCACTTCTCTTTACTTATCCTAGAATGGTCATCCCACTATACACTTGATTCTTAGTTAACTACCATAAGTCATCTCAAGATGTCTCTCTCTAGGGAGCCCCATTAAAGGACATGTTGAACCAAAAGACTCTTCTCCATGTGCCTATGTGAACATATCCTTGCCATATACTGACAAATGTAGCTATATGTTTATTCCTTTCTCCTACTCTCCTGCTAAGAGAGCCACCTTTTCATTACAAAATGTCCTGCTTGTCTCTGTATCACTATTCCCTATCTCATGAAGGTGTATATCTATCCATAGTGAATACTTATTGAATAAAGATATTGAAAATATGTCTTTATATTGCCACAGGTATGATTCAAACCCAAAGAAATCACACACATGCTGGCACAAGCACATGGGCCAACTCCTCACTGCCCAATACCCCATCAACATTCAGAGTCTCTGGTACCTTCCAGTTTAATTAAGTATTGCTGCTTTCCTCATTTCTATCCAGTTGGTAAACTTCAAGTCTTCATTACAATCTAGTTCGCTGTTGCTCCTCTGTGTATGTTTCTTTTGACCTCAAATTCAAACTCATAGTCCCTTCTTTAACATTCCAGGTAAGCTACAGTTATTACACTGTAGATCTAAATATCTCAGGGAGATTGACATGGCCTCTTGTCTTTATCCCTCTACATATCTGCACCCTTTGCGATGTACCTTGACAGTGGAGTACCATCCCTTTACCCCTACACTGTTCAAAGGGCCTCCTTTCCTTCTTCTAGATTTTGGGCAATGATTCAAGATTGCATTTTGGTAAAAAAAAAATGACTCAGAAATGACTGCATGCCAGTTATTGGCCTAAAATTTGAGATACTTTATGAGTGTTGGTTTGTTCTCTTAAGCGTTCATCATTTCCACGAGGAACCCATGCTGGGCTAGCTCATAGGGGATATCACACAACTGAGAGGGCAGCAAGAATCAGTTTAATCAGATTTAGATCAAAGCCCAGATTGTCTTATGTCAGTTAGGAAAAGGTAGCTGTGAGTATGGCTGAGATCAGAACCACCCACTAGGGCTCAGTGTAAATAATCTGCCCATGAGCCAAATAAGTGACCCCTGGG